TGCAGCAGAATGAGGATACTTGGTTTTTACTTTGCTTAGCCTCAACCCACCTTGTGCTAAGTCTGAGGTTTGCTGCACTACAACTGCTCCTCAGGAACTGGGGAGAGAAATGTGGGATCTTTCTCAGGTCTTTCTGTAGGTCCAGATGGATTTTCCTCTCTGTGCAGTTGCTCCTGCATGAGTGCAATCTGCAGCAGAGCTATTGGCTCTGATATGGATACACGTCGGCCCAGAAGTGTGCATATCTGGCCTCTGTTTTGGGATGCTTTTCTCTGAGGCAGGTGGTTCTGTGGCACTTTTATGGCAGGAAGATGCTTTAAAGCCTTTGGCCTTGAAGCTGCAGAGGTGTGAAAACAGCCCACCCATGCTGGCTCCAAGATGAACTGAGCCTGATCCAAAGGAAACGGGCACATCTGCGTACACATGCTGCAGCTCCAAATGGGGCTGTGGTGTTGCCTGCTAAACCTGGAAAGAAAAGCACTTATCAGAGCATTGGTGTGCTGGGAGCATTGCTTTGTGTGCTGCCTGCCTTATGTTTGGGCTGTACTGTGTCTAATCTGGTGCAAGCTCTGACCAGTACTTTTTCCATGGTGTGAGTGTTGCTAATACCTGTTTCTTCTCTTGATTACCAAGTGTTTAATCATTCAGTTCAGGCCTTTGCATCAGTAGGATCACTAAACTGAGTCTTTTTTTCTGGTACCGTGTCTCTGCTTCTCTTATTTCCTCTCACTGTGATAAGTTGGATGGTGGTTGGCTCCCAGGGTCTCAGACCATTGCACAATCTTAGATCAGTCCACTGTGCACAGTGGACCCTATGCAGGACTATGGGACTGGTGCTAAGATGGGTGTGTTGCACATAGCAATACTGGTACTCTAACTCAATCTCTGTCCTCAAGGAGCATCTAAGCCTCATGCTCTAGAGGACCAGTGAGTGTGATGATGTTACTGTTGTCTTGGTGAAGCCTGCCATCAATGCTTAGGATATAATTTCCAAAGTAGCTTCAATGTAACTAGGATATTTAAAATGCTTTTTTGTCATTTGGCTTATTTGAAGTCCTGCTGTAGTGTGGCTGATAGTCCCATTACAAAGAATGAGGGATGTTTTCTCCTATGCCAACCAGGCAGAAGTACCAGGGGCTTTCTTATTAAGAATATTTCTTGCTACCTTTTGAGTCTGTGCAGTTCAGTAAGAGTTGGGGTGGCATGAATTAGGTGACATCAATCTTGTGCATGTAAATTACTGCTTGTGCTCATCATACTTTTTGTGTTTGGAGGGGCTTTGTCAGAGTATTTGCACTTGAAGGTTTGAAGGACCTCTGTGGCTTTTGTAGGAGGACCTACCTCCCTGCATGGTTCTCTTTGAAAGGATTTGATGAGGAGGTTTCTTTTCCTTTAATTCTTGTGCATTTCCCCTTTCCTGTTATGGTGCTGCAGATGTTAACTGAATTAACTGAGATCCTGGATGTGCATTCAGCTTGACAGGTTGTAGATAAGCAGAGTTTACAGGGGTTTTCTGGGAAGATAGAGCCATTGAAAAGTGGAGAAAACATGGATATCTGTGATAACTGTGATATCTGTCTATGGATATCTAGAGCCCTATGGACCACTGGTGACACACTGAGGTTATTTAAGGAAGGAAAAATTGTTTTGAAAGTGACAATACTAGTCGAGCTGTCCACCTTCCCATACCACCAGTCGGCCAGCCAGCTGCAGGTGGGCTCTGAAAGCAGAGCTCTTCCAGCCTCTGTGCAGTAGAAGAGGTTCAGTTGGGTCTTTTCCTGTAGCTAACCATGTGAACTGGCCATTGAAAATCAGTGCTTCAGTTTGCAGGTACTGAGCCTGATACTCCAGATTCACCAGCGAATGCTTAGGTTGGGCACCCTTGCATTACACTATTCTGATTTACCCAGCAGGTTTTCCTTAGTTTGAATATTCTTGTTTAACATTTTGCTTGGTCCTTGAAGGATTTTGCAGATACTGTGATGATCCAGATTCACTTCATTACTACTGAAAATTAACATTTGCATTGCAGTGACTTAAACTGTAGTACTGAGAAGGACGGTTGCATTTTACAGACACAAGAGAAGGTGCAGATCCCTGTTCCTAAAACTTCCAATGCAGTCTGTTCTCTCCTGGAGGTTTTCGGAGTCCCTTTATCTACACTGCAAAAGAAGACCAAAATAAGGTCACTGTGGCAATTTTGGACTCTGGAAGCCTGTAATCCAGATTTGAATGAGGGAGAGGAGCCATCTTATTTGGGTGTCAAAAATGGTGAGGTGCAAGCCTTTTAAAAAGGGAAAGGTTTTTTTTTGTGGGTTTTTGTGTGAGGCATTAGAGGGGGAACTGACTGACAGCAAGATCTGTGAATTGGGCACCGTTAAGACATCTCAAATCAGGCATCTGGAAATGAAGCCCCCTGAAATCTGTTGTCAACTCTGAAAATCCCGTTTCCCCCACTCTCCTGCCAGCTTTGAAAGTTCGAACCGTGTTCTTTTTATCACATTTGTCATTCTTTAGTAATGAAGCTCTGGCATTCAGAATTTGGCTGACAACTTTTTGGGTAGGAGCCAAAATGAAGTTCAACTTGCACCTTTCTCTGATGCACCAAGTGCTGTTCGCAGCGAGAGGCAGAAGTCTGAACTAGAGGGACTGCAGCCGCCTTCATTACAGCAATTACTGTCTTCTCACTGTTGCCAAAATCAAGCTTGTTTTCTTTATCCTAATGTAAGTGGACAGACCTGATGAGGTGTATGCAACAGGAATGTTGAGAGAGAAAGTGTCATGTATAAACCATTTCTTCTCAGGCTGCTCTGTCATCTTAAATAATGTAAAGCTCATAAGCCTCCTGGAAATCTTGCAAAAATCAGTGCTACAAAAGACTTAGAGGCTTGGGTCCAGCACTTTTAGGGTTTTCTAATTTTAAATACATTTATATGTACTTTTAAAGTCATTTAGGTCTATAAACTGGATGTATAGTTCAATGACGCTGAGAGAACTGGCTTTTGGGAAGGAGCATAACTCAGCAATGAAGTCTGATGCAAGATCTGCTGGGCACAGCTTCTGTGTGTGTTCATGGCCAAATGTATGGATTGCGTAAGGTAATTAGGATAGAAATTTATCATGGGCCAGTGTCCAAGTGTGCTAAGTGCCTGTGCTGGATAGAAGCCCAGCGCTGTTGTGCCAGTTTATATGGCAAAGTCGCATAACTGTCCTTGGGCAAACGCAGCGCTCCCTCTTTGCGTTTCTTTAGTTCAGTGTTTGGCAGCAGATGGCTTGAGGATGCGTTGTGAGAAGGCTCAGGTTTGGTAACGGTAGCAATATTTGTGCCCACACTGCTGTTGCGTTTGCAGTCTGAAGTCCTCCTGCTCTAACCACTGAGATGGCACCTTCTTGGAGGTTCACAGCGTCAGGTTCTGCATTGCTGGGGCAGTGCAGTAGCTGAAACCCATCTCTGGGAAGGACTGAGAAGTCGCAGTCACTGAGCTTTGAAAACATTTAGAAATCCCACCCTGATGTGTGTGAAAGTGAATGGATTGCTCCTGGTTGACTGATGCGGTGTTTCCCTGAAGCATGGAGCAAAGGACTCTGCTTCCTTTGAGCAAACCATGAGGGCTGCTATCATTTAATTATTATGGACCTATGCTGATTAATTGCAGCCCTTCTTGGACTGCCCTGTGGGGTGATGGTCTCTAAAACATCCAATGTCTGAAAGAGCCTACAAGGATGCGGTAAAGGGACCCTTCATTGGGGACTGTAGCAACAGGACAAGGGGTGATGGGCTCAAGCTGAAACAGAGGAAGTTCAGGTTAGATAGAAGGAAGAAGTTCTTCCCTGTGAGGGTGCTGAGGTGCTGGCACAGAGTGCCCAGAGAAGTGGTGAATGCTCCATCCCTGGCAGTGTTCAAGGCCAGGTTGGACAGAGCCTTGGGTGACATGGTCTAGTGTGAGGTGTCCCTGCCCGTGGCTTGGAGTTGGAACTGGATGATGTTAAGATCCTGTGCAACCCAAACCATCCTATGATTCTATGATTCTATCCAGTTGTTTGTTCAGAGGAAATATTTTAGTTTTCAAATGCATGTGATTTTTCCCTTCTAAGGGTGTTGCTGTGTTAGCAGTGTTACTATATCACTGTTGGCTATCCCACACATAAGAGTTTTGGGGGAGAGAAAAACGTTTCTGGTGTTATTTAATTCCCATTTACAGGCAGGGGGAATCAAAATCTGGTGGCTGGGTTTCTGGTTGCAAATGCACGATGTATTCGAAGAATCATCTGTATCTCTGAAGCTGAAATTTGCTGAATTGCCTTTTGGTGCCTGATGACTTTTCCTGATTTCAACAGAATTTGAATCCTGGAGACAGCATGTATATTTTTCAGTTTAAATCTTGGAAACTGTGTGGATAAAGATCATGAAGTAACACAGGCTTCCAGTGTTTAGCTCAGAAATAAATCAAACTGTTTTGAAATGAAATAGATGTTCCCAGTAAATTCTGTAAGTCTTTCTTCTTGCAAGTGTATTGACTCAGCAGCTGACATATGATGTCCTCAGGGTTGATTTTTGCTTTGCTTTGTGGTGGAAAGCACCTGCAGTTTCTGTTGTCCTGTCCAGGAACTAAAAGTTTGCACAGCTTTATTTTTCTCAGAGTTCATTATTGAACGTACAAAGGGACTTTATAAATCACATTGAGCCTATGTGGTAAGCAGGAAACGAGCTGTTACACAAGCGGTGGCCAATTTTGAATGGGAGAGATGGAGATGATAAGTCAATGCTGTTGTAAATCACTGCCGGTGACTCCGGTGGAGCAACACCTCCCTTTATTTTGGGATGTAATGGGTTGCCTAAGAGAACTGAACAACAAACCAGCTTTTCTCATAGTCTGGAATACAATTGTATCTGAAACTGCAGAGCTGGCAAACCCTAAGGAGATGTTTCTGAGATACGTGTGCAAGTCCATTGCAGTCTGCTGTGCTCAGTATTGCTTTTCTTTCCTCCCCCTCTCCAGCAATCAAAGAGAAATACATGGACTGGACGGAGTTTCTCATACACGATTTGACTGGCGCCCGGACTGCACCTGCAAACTTACTGGAAGGCGTATGTATTAGATTGCAGTTTCTATCCACTATGGTGTTACAGTGTGCATGCTGCAGCAGTGTTCCCAACGTGCAGGGCTGTGTGCTTACAGCATCTGTGTGCCAGAAGCAGGCAAAATGATCCAGTGCTGGCCAAAATGTTGGTGGCAAGATTGTCTTGACTCTGCTGGTTTCTCCTCCTGATGCAGTGATGGGGAATTTGGTTTGCCTTCAGGCTGGAAGGTGGTGCTTAGAAAGTTGGGTGTTCAAAAAAGGCTGGGTGGGGAAGAAGAGCATGGAGGGAGTCTGTAGGAAAGAAGACACAGCCCTTCGGTGCCCAGTTAGATCCACCAAAGTGGTGACCTGAGCTTTCAAGACATGACACAGATTGGAGAGGGGACTCAATAGGTTCATGGGGAGCACTATCGGGTTTATGTATCCATGGAAATAGCTCCCCCAAGGGCATTCCTGCCACCTAAACACAACAGATATAGCAGGGAAGTGGGGTGAGATGACCTCAGTCAGTATGCAGGAGAGAAGGGTCTGTTTTTTTAGATGCATCCATATGGCCAAGAGCCCAGTCTGTGCATCATATTCACAGGGTGACTTGCACCATGTGCAGCCTCAGCATGCCTTGAGATCCCAGACAAAAAATCCTGCGTATTCACCTTGAAACCACAGGAGCAGGGCACCTTCTTCATAGGGACCTGCCCTATTTAATGTGGATGCTCTGTGGGCATCTGGGGAGGAGACAGTCTATCCTGTGGGAGATAATCCTCCCTGGCCCTCTGTATTTAGGCTGAGAGTGAAGGCACAGAGGTGGTTTACCTTTGTGTAAGCCCTTTGTTACCTTGTGTAAGCTTGCTTCCAAAAAGCCCATGTTGGCTTTTTGGTAGCAAGCACACATCAGGGCACTAGTTTTGATCATTTTGTCCCTGGTCAGAGGGACAGCCACAGCTGCATCCTTTTTCCACATGCCTGTGCAGTGCAAGCTGCACGACAGGGAGAATGAATAGTGTGCCATCAGGGATTCTTTTCCCCCAGTCTGTTATCTGAACAGCCCTCACACATCTAAAGTAATGCACGTCCTCAGGTCTGTCACATCCTCATTCATGGACCACTCCCAGGTGGCATATGCAGAAAGCTGGTGGTGTCCAACACCCATCTCCTGTATGCCAGTGCCATCACAAACCTCTCCATTCCCTTTCCACAGGCAGAGGGAAAAAAGGGCAGCCCCAGGCAGAAATACAGAGAGAGAGAAAACATTGCATTGGCTTGAAACAGTTTCTGACCCTTTTCTGGTGTTTGGTGTAATATATGTGCTTAGTGCTGTCTGTGTTGTGCAATGTGCAATGTGACCCCCTGTTGGCAGATTTGCTGTTCCTGAGTGCTGCAGATTGTTTCATAGTGCTAAATCAATACGTAGTGGTACTTCTATTTATCTAGTTTTCCATGCTAGCCATGCATCTAGAGAGTTCTTGCATGGTAAATGTTAATATTTCATGCAAGCCGTTAATTAATCTTAGCCATTCAGTTCTCGGGGGTAAATGACAAACCCATTGGCTTAAAATTTAGTACACAAATCAGAGAAGCAATAGGTGCTTTTATACAGCCAGGGATTTATTATAAGAAGTTAAATCATTGCGCCATCATTTCCTATTAAAGAATGTTTTGTTGCCATGAAGCAGTTGTATGAGAGGAGAAAAACCATTAAAGCAGATTTCTATTATATTATTAAATTCTGACACTGTGTTTTGCCATGAAATAGTACTTGAATACTACAGGTGCTTGTAGCTTACACTGTAGAGGAGTGGTTTATAATGGCAAATATATTGTTCTGAGAAATATCTATTAATCATAGAGCTGGTTAAAACTGTATACATGATAAGGTTTTAATTAATTTTAAGTACATTTTTTACCAAATTCTCACTGTGTAGCTGCAGATGTGAAAATTATTTGCATTTCAAGATTTTGAATGCTTTCAAAAATCAACAGGAAAAGCCCTCTGTTCTCTTTTTTTTCTACCCACCCCTAAAAAGAACCATCCTGGACTGACTCTGATTTACAGAATTCATATTTAAAAATATGCTGTGAGAGGTTTATATCATTTAATTAAGTAGAAATGGGACAAACACTAAGGAAAAAAAATCATGGAGTCATAGAATAGTTATGGATGGAAAACCTTGTTTTTAACATATTCTGCCTATGCTTAGCATCTCCTTTGGGACCAGTGCTCCCAGCTCTTGCAGTGTTCTTTAGTCCTGCTCTTGAAGCCCTGGAATGAAGAAATTGCATAAGGGTTGGAACTTGTATATACGAAAAAAGAAGAAAACTAACTGCAAAATAAACCCACTGAGCCCCAGAGGTATCGTTCTGCAAAGCATCTCATGGTTTTTTTAATGCCTGCGGTTGGCAGCTTTGCAGGTGTAAAGTTAAGCACATGTGTAAATGGTTGCAAAACTGGGATCACAGAAAGCACTATGTGCAAGCAAATAGCCTCAGTCACTAGGATTTCTTGGGCATGGTGGCTTGACCCAACAAACCCTGTGTGCTTTGATCCCAAGACCATTTAACCTGGTGGGAGCCTGCCATTGGCTTTGGGCTTTGGATTAAGCACCATGGACTCTTGTCCATGGGGAATAATTTGCTTTATAGGAATAGAGCCTATAGCAAATATATTCCTATTTGCCAACAGGAATGAGGCAAAGCCTTTGATGTGAAACATCAGCACATAGAGGGCAATTTCAGGGTCATGCCCAAAGAAGTCACCTTTTAGTTGTCCAGCCCTGTGATTGGTTCTTGTAGCTGCAATCAATGAGAATTTGGTTTTAAATCCTCCCTATAACTGGGCTTTGAGCTGTTCAGGAGCATCTTGAAGTGAACGTGCCTTATGAGCTGTTCCACCTTTTATTATTCTTTCTTTGTTGTTGTTGATGATGTCGGTTGAGAAATTAGCACAACTGTTGTTTTCTGTTTTACTTCTGAATTTGCACTTGGAAGACATTGGGTAAAATAGAAGAAGAACAGACTGTTTGCTGATCGCTTGGATGATGGTGTGAAAAACAAAAATAATCTTCTGCTGTCATCTGTTTCCTTGAGAAGTCTTCAAATAAAGTTTAAAATAAGGAGTTTTGCTTCTATTCAAACAGCCTCTGCGAGGAAAAAACCCTGTAGACCTCATTACAGTTGATTCCTTAATAGAGCTGCAGGATTCCCAGAATCCCTTTCAGTACTGGATAGTTAGTGTGGTTGAAAATGTTGGAGGAAGATTACGCCTTCGCTATGTGGGATTGGAGGAGACTGAATCCTATGACCAGTGGTTGTTTTACTTGGATTGCAGACTTCGACCAGTCGGTTGGTGTCAAGAGAATAAATACAGAATGGACCCACCTGCAGGTAAAGAGCCTCCTAAAATTACTAACCCTTTATGGCATTTACTGATGTTTTGAGATACTTGTGCAACCCATTTCTTCTTCTCCAGCATTCACATTGCTTTGACAGTAGTTTCTAGCTATAACACAGGTGCCATGTGAAAGCCATCTAAGGTGCCTTCAAAGTGAGTCAGGTAAACTCTGTTATGTATTTAATAAATTCTGTTTAGCTTAGCCTATTCGTGGAAGGAAGCAGTGTCCAATAAAAGCAGTTTTGTGCAGTTTTCTGCCCAGAAGCAGAGCTCAAGGATGTGCCTGCTTGCCCAGCCCTTTTCAATGGTGTGTTAGTGGCCAGGTTTTTCTGGCCATGCTGTAGGCATCTTGGTGGAAGCCTCACAGGGAGCCAGTCTTCTGCTGTCCAACTCATAGAATCAAGTCCTAGGTGACACCTCTCAGCATATACTAGACTCCTTTTGCTTTCCCTTCAACCAAAGACCTCTTCTGCCTGTGTCTTTCCATGGCTACACACATTTCTTTTGAGTAGCAGTAGACATCTGGGAAATTTCCCATGGGTGGAGAAAGTGTTTTGGGATGCTCATAGTCCCTCTTAACACAAGTTTTCCGTATTCTGCTGTAACACTGCTGTACAGCTACCAACTGAGGCCTGCCTTGTATGTAACCAGACTGAAAGTGTGGTGAGGGTGCTGGGTTGGTCTGCCTGTCCATGTCAGCCCTACCCAGCAAGGGCTTTTGGGGTGTCTGTTGCTAGAAGAAAATACTCCTTTGAGTAAGGGTAGATGGGGTCTTCCAGCTTTCAAAAGATCACAGATTTTGTCCTGCCTTTTCTCCAAGGAAGTGAAGTCTTTGCAGTATGTCAGACCATGTTCAACATCAGGAGGTTGCAGTTTGGAGAAGCTGAATTTAGTGTTTGAACCACCTTGGATGGAGAGAGATAGGGACTGCAGCTGAGCCAGTCTGGGGGCATAAATTGGAAGTCACAAGTCCAGGGGTAGGAGAAGTTCAAGTGACAGGAGGTAAGTTTAAGAGTCAGGCAGAAGCAAGCTGAGACAGGAGGCTGGGCAAGAGCAGAGTCTGCTGGAATCACATTCCAGAAGGACTGGGTTTGGCAGGGCGAGAATGATGGCCAGGCTGGGTGTAGGGGAAAGCTAAGCATTACTAAGGTTTAGCAAGCAAGAGATATGGTGTAGGAACCACAGCACACAGTAGGGACACAGGGCTGCTTGAAACTTCCTGGGGAAATGCATGCAAAGGCATTCGCTGGCAGGTTCTGGAGCTGGCTTTCGAGATACGCTTGCATCCAGGCTATATCCCATTACAGTGGGGAATGACTGGGATGATGGATCTTCTCCACTACCCAATAATAGTGGTAAAAGCTTTGTGGAAGTTTCTGGGCAATTGGATTTCTCTCTACTTAGGGAGTTTGGCTCTGTTTTGGTAGGACTGGAGTTGGCTGAGTTGGTTGTCAAGTTGTTTGACTCGATTTCTCTTGGAGTTAGGGGTCTGGTTAAACATGACAGCTTAGACTGTTGCATGCATGGTCTTATTTCGGGCAGAAAGTGTGTACCATCTGTGTGTTTCATAAAGCTGTGGCTTATACTTGGGGCAACAAAGCTGTTGGCCATATCTCGTGGAGCATGGTCCCCATTTCTACCTCCAATCTGGATGCCTCAGTTTACATTGAGATATAAGGTGCTTCCTTTGTTAATGTGCAGGCCTAGCAGGTCTATTCCACCTTTTCGGGAGCAAATGAACAACTTCTTCAGGTCTGTGCTTCATTTTCCTTGTGGTATGGGTGAATTTTTTCCATTGATGTCAAATGATAGCAGAAAGGTAGCCCTCCTTTGGGTAAATGTTTCTGATATGGGTTCTGTCCACTGCACCCCATTCAGAGTGGTTACTATGATATAAGCAATTGTGTTCACAAGTCTGTCTGGGTCTTGGGTCTAACGTGGGGTCTTGGATGCTTTTTGGAAGCATGTGTTTTTCTTCACTAATCAGTAGGAATCAATGTTCCCCATCACTTCTAAATTAGATGCGAATGCTGGAGAGCATGAATATGACTCAGTCTGTTACTTTAGAAAGTATTTGTGTTCCAGAGAAACACTTTTTCATTGACTGTCTCTGAACTCTCCTGGCCTGTATAGGTTTGGTGGATCAATACAGAAATGGCCCAAATGAGATTTGTGCTTCCTCTTTGTTTCTTTCATTCTCTTTCTGCTCTTTCCTCCTTTTATCTAGTTGTGCTTCTTTCTCTGTGGGTTCTCTAAACCTGCTGTTGGATGCTTTATTTGCCAGTTTTTTTATGTTTCTTCTCCCATCTCCTTGATTTAACTGCTTTTAAAATTTCTTTCTCTTAGAATCATAGAGTGGTTTGTGTTGGAAGGGAGCTTAAAGCTCATCTAGTTCCAATCCCACGGGCAGGGACACCTTCCACTAGACCAGGTTGCTCCAAGCCCTGTCTAGCCTGGCCTTGAGCACTGCCAGGGATGAAGTCCTCATTCTTCTCATTTGTTTTCATCTGATACCCGTTTCCTCTCCTCAACATTTCTCTGGTCACTTTTTAATGAACATTGGTATTAATGAATTCAATGCTCACTTCTTTTTCCTGACTTCCATTGACTTAAATAGGTGGTCATTCCTTTACATCTCCTAAAGTTGTGTCTCACAGGAGTTTGCTGAGAAACAACCCTTTGGTTTTGAACCCTTTCATTTTCTCACAAGTCTTCTCCTGGATGTTGCCCCCAGAGGTCTTTCTTTTCTTCTCCCTTCTGGTCTCCAGGGAGTAGCCAGTCAGAAAGGGGAATCTGATGAGGCAGGAATGTTGGTTGGAGTTTTTGCAGTTGCAGAAACACAGTTTCTGGAGGCATGAATGCTGTTTGTTCCACTTCTGACATAGGGGACTATCTGTCTAATCATTTGATGTCCACCTAATGTCATAACGTTCATAAAGCACAATGGGTGAATAAAGCATATGAGACATTAATCCAGAGGAGGATGACAGAAAGTGGCTGATCTTATGGGATGTGTTTCAAGTTGAAGTCTGCAAAAGAAATCTTTGAGGGAGTGGACAGGAATGTTGTCAGGATGAGATGCTGGCAGCAGGGAGCTCTAAAAAAAGCTCAGGGATGAAGCTACTAAACCACAAATTGTCAAAGGATTCAGTTTCCTAAGGACCCGTGGCCAGGAGAGTGAGCAGGGAGGGACACATCCTTGCCTGCTATACATGCTTCCTGGTGACTTATGTAATATATAGGATTATACTAGAAAGACCTTTATTGTGTGAAAGACCTAGCATGGACCTTCTTAGGAAGGAGACTCAGTGGGCAGTATCTTGTTTCTTTACACATCAGGGATTAGATTCACCTGCAAGCATAGGAAAGACAGTTCAGCATGAGCTGTTGCTGTATCTTTATGGTTGCAGGATGCCTAAGACATGTCTAACATAGTTCGGATGAAGTGACATCTTCATAAGCCTGTTATTTTTTCCACTCGGGTGGGTTGAAACTAATGAGCACATGCCTGGTTGTTTAATTTTTGAACATCTGAAGCCAGTTAAGGCAACTCCTTGACTGTTAACAGGAACAGCCTTGGACTTTATGTAAAAACTGTTATGAATCTCCTCTGAAGAGGTGCTGAGCACAGGCAGCTCCTCCCAGATAAGGCTGCATGTTCAACTGTTGTCAGATGAGGATGTTGAGTTACACATCAGTTTGGTAGGTTGTGGCAGTGCTTTGCCTACCCTTGACTTGGATACTGCATGTGACCCTTCAACTTACTTATTTCCTTGTGTGTCTGGGCTGTGATCTTACTGTGTTGATCCACCTCTGGGACTTGCTGGGATGGGTTTCACCTTGGATAGCGGTTTGAGGACAGTCTTTCTAGATGCAGAGCACCTCATATAAAGGAGACCCATGAATTCAAATGTCTGCAGTATTTTGGGTGGAGAGATCTCTTTTCTAAAGCCATCCATATCCTAGCACCCGCTTGATGTTCAAGAATGTGCAAGAGGGTCCTTAGGAAATAGCATCCTGGCTGTATTCAAGTGGCAACTTTCAGGGACTTTGTCTTACGAGCCCTTTTAATTGAGGCCAAGGGCTCATAGCTTATTTTTCCCCTCAGAGGTGTATCTGAATCCAATAAGCCTTCTCGCTAGTGCAAATTGGCACAGGCTGCTTGACGCAGAGCACTGATGGTCTTGCCTTGACTGTTTATGCAGGAAGAGATTGCCTCCTTTTATGTTACTTGCTATTTAAAGACAAATTGGCAGTCATTTTAATTGCTCACTCCTTGTTAACCTAAATAAAAATTGACACAGTTCACTTTGTTCAATTACCTGCAACTCTATCACTTAAAAGAGCATAAAGCACTGTGTTTAACCATGCAATTTAGTGTCCATATACTCCCCAGCATAAGCGAGCTGCCGCTAATTAAATGTGTGTATGATACTGCTTGCTGGTTATTGAAACCATTGGAGTTGTCTTTATCTCTTGGAGTTTGTTGACATTGCCCAAAGAAATTGCTGCTGCTTGTCACTGATTTGGGACAAAGTCACCAAAAATGTCACGTTATTCTTTCCCTACTGCCATCATGGGAGAAAATGAGGGTTTGTTTTCAGCTAACTGTCTCCAGGGAGCAGGGAGGCATCCAACAGCCTTTCCCAAAACCCACACTTTTTGTTAGTTGAAACAACAGGGTGGCTGCAACTTTCGGGACAAAATCATGTCCTATTGACTGTTTCCTTGTTTGGCATCATTTAAACCAAAGGGGAAGCAACAAGGTGGGTTGTTTCCTTCCCTGCTCTTGGAGCTGATCAGAGCTCCTGAAAGTAAGGGAGAACCGGAGCAACAAAGCTATAAAATAATGAACAGTTAGGTAAAGAGTGCATTTCTTAACACTTTTGACTGCTGCCTATGCTGTAAACAGAGACTTGAAATGTGTATTCCCATTAATAACCAGACAGTTAAGTAATTGAAAGTGAAAGGTTAACGTTTCCCTTTAAGTGTGTTTAAATTCATATGCATATCCTTGATGTCTGTTCTGAAGTAGGGAGGTTTGATATAGTGGAAGTATAAGTACATCCACTTCCAGTGAGTGATCCTGCAAATCCTATTTTGATAAGGTCTTAAATCTGTTGAAATCAGAGCATAAAATTCTCTTGTACTGTTGGTGCTAGGTGAAAACAGTGCTTGCCAATTCCATTTTTTTTTATACATATGTTTTATTTCCTCCTTCCCAATTGTAAGCTACAGTGGTAAATCTCTGGTAGCTAGTAAATATATATAGTTAATAGATGTAAAGAATTGAAATGCAAATTCTGCTGAACTGAACTGATATAAGTGTGTGAAGCCAAACTGACAAAAGGAAAGCTTCACACTGTTCACTGCTTATCGAGGCTCAAGTTTATTACTGAGGAGATGTTCATTTCCATTTTAATAATTGTTGCAATCTATCTACCTATCTTGTCTCCTTAAGACCTTGATATGAATAACTTGTTATGTGCAGGGTAACAATGTGTTTTCTAGGGCAGAAGTAAATCCAATATCATGTTCTTCATCATAGTATTGTTTCCTACATTGTTTCCTTTGATGAATCATAGGCATTTTGCTGCACTGAACCATAAAGGGCTTGCTAATATAATGATTTAATAATATTAAACCTATTTAAAGAAACTCACTGAAAGCAATGTGAATTTGCACAAAGATGTTGCCTAGAAGTATTATGATGAAAATTCGTAAGTGTAAGTCTTTGAAGTGGTGTGATGCTCTGGTTTGAGGGTGGTACTAATAAATGGGGCTGGGTCGAAATGTTCCTTCCCACACCTACCCTCAACCCATCTCAAAACCCCTCCAAGCCTGCAATATAATAAGAAAAGACTTCCCAATGAACAGAAGGCTTGGTAAAGGTTTCTCTGATTTTGTTCAAATCTATCTAACTAATACTGGCTGAAGACTTGAGGCTCCTCAAACTGGAAAACATCAGCTATTTTGAGAACTGAAAATCAGAGGAGAGTTTTGTTATTTTCAGGTAATAAGATGTTATGCTTCTTGTTTCTTCAGCAGAAAATGAAGGATGTGCATTTTCCTGGGTTTTACTCCAGGATATAAAATACAATCTTCCTTAAATGTGCCCCTGCTGGTTGCTTTTGTGTTGAATTTATCTGTGCTGTACAGCTTGGAATATACACGCTATTCATTTCACTTGTACTATCCATTTTTAGGACGTAAAAACCTAAGTCTTTCAAAAATGTTTGATTCCCAAACAGTCACCTCTTGGTTTTGTTGTGTTTTGTTGTTGTCGTTACTTTAGATATCTGTTCCTTGAAGACAATATCTGAATGGAAATGCGCTCTGGAAAAATCCCTTAATGATGCAGCAAATTTTCCTCTTCCAATGGAAGTGTTCAAGGTAAAAGAAACCTGTTTTTCCTTGGCTTACAGAACCCATGATGTGTAAATATCACAGAGTATTTTGTGACTTATGTTAAACTTTTGCAGGAAGGGCCGTTGCTCTTATATGTAACCATGAAAGGTCACAAATGAGATGTTGGTATAAAACGCAGTTTTCTATGTGAATTTTCCATGCTGAGAACTGATTTCTTGCAGTCAGTGTTTTCTAGGGGCTGGTGGTGAGCACTGATTGCTCCAACATAATTTTCAATGTGTCTTACTCTGTTAGACCTGTGCAAAGGTGTTATATTCAACAGTGAAATTGTAAAGCTACAAATATGAAAGTTGACATATTTCTATGGACAGATTTCTGTGACCCTTGAACCTAAATTTTCATGTGATCACAAGCCACAAGGCAGAGAAACTTCCTTCAGGAATCTGTAGTGGAAGTGGGAGATAATTTTGACATCTCCCCACCTCTTTTTTTCCCCCTTCTCACTTTGGTTTCTAATAGTTAGAGTTGTGCTTCAGCCCTGAGGCACCAGTTTTAATTTCCCATCCAGATATGCACTGCTGTTAATCATGACGGCTTCAGCTGTGCCTGTCTGGTTTCTAACTGTTACATCCTTGCTGTGATGAGCGAGAGGATGCTCAGGGAGGTGTGTTAAAGGGCATGGTGCTGCGCTGTCTCTGGTGTCACCTCTGGCTTGGGTACCTGGGGGATCACAGTACCATCCCCACCACCGTTCCTGGCTCATCCAGCCTGGGGAGCCTCTAGGTTCCTTCTCTGCCCTTAAGCATCATGGCCCTGCAACACCCCAAAACACTGATACAGTATGATGCTTAGGGCCATGGTTTAGAGGTGGACCTGGCAGTGTTAGGTTTACAGCTGGACTTGATCTTAAAGGTCTTTTCCAACCTATCATCCTATAACTGGAAGAAGGCAGTCATCGTGTCCCATCCTGGCATGCCTCAAAACCCTGGTGCCACCTTCACCCTTTCTGCAGGGACATGCCAACAGCTTCCTATGAAGAATCCAGGCTCCTCACCCAGCTGAGATGCACTTGAATTAGCAACATTAATTTGGGAATGCATTAATTTGCTAATGGCCCAGTCAGTGGCTTATTTGCTTGCAGTGTGAAAGCTATGCTGGGCTGGGAGAAGTGGGAAGATTTGTGTGTTGGCTTTCTGCACAGACGGGGGTTTGAGCAGCCTTGTGCTGTGATGGGAGTGATGCGCAGAGAGTTTTGACTCTCTGCCATGTATTTCGTAACACATCTATCTGCCAACTCTATTAAAGTTTGCATTTGCAAAAGTTTGGAGATCAAAACAGCATTGTGTGGGGCAGGGATGAAATCACAATAGGGAATGCCTAATGTGTAAATTTTATTGCTGCAAATATGAAAGAGTGAAGAATGTTTCTGATGAGGCTCATAAAGCATCCTTCTTTTTTTAAGGTTTATAACTAACAGCTGTTCTGCTGCCTCTTCTCAGCATGACAGACTTATACCCACTTACTTTAATTATTGCATGAGGGTCATAAATTAAATTCAGCAAATCCCAGTTGCCATTGCCATGTAGTTGGAGCTTGCAAACATGTTCTTCTTAGAAGACAATGCAAAACACTGGCCCAAGAGGAGAGTTGCTTTGGGGCCAAATGTGACAAAAAGACAGGATTATGTCAATAGGGCTTCTTTATTTGCAGTGTGAAAGCTGAGCACAAGGTGAGCTGAATTCGGTGTCTAGTTTTACCTCAAGCCCCTAAGTTCTGGTGCTGGGAAGGCAGGAGGCTGAATAAATCATTTATGTGTGGACATCACACACAAATATTCTGCCCATTTAGGGTGAATCAACCCTATCTTATGCCTCTCGATTAAAGAGAAAATATGAGAGCTTGTCCATGCCTTTGAGCATGTCTTCCTCTGGTAGTGACTTAAACATGAATTACAGAAAGGCTGTAGGAGACTACGAGAGTACAGGTGTCTGACCTACAAGATAAGCCAATATTTATGTGTGGGACCTTCAAGGAGAATCCCAGGTCCCAGTGAAAAGTGTTGAATCCAAGGCATCATTTTATAATTTTTCTCTTTTTTTAAATCACTTTTATTAATCTTTATTGGTTTTTGCAAACCCAGCACAGAAGTAATGTTTCTACATGGTGCCTGGGGCTTTATGCTACTGTAACTGTCATGTGTTAGATGAGATGTAAAACACAGGGTTTGACAGCTGGCAACTGTTAAAAATCTTCTGGAAAGCTGGAAATGTTTACTTTGTTGGACATGGTAAACTGCACGCCAAGTTGTAGTCTGCATATTCCCCATTTCCTACAGAAATTCATCACCGAGTAGCTAGTGACAATGTGTGCTTGCTCCACAGACAAGAGCAGTCCCTGGGTGAGCACCTATACATTCAGCTGGACTATGACTTAAATTGCTGATGTCCTTTGAGCTGTGCACGGCTGGGCATTGTCACTAATGTGCCATCAGAGTGGTCCTAGCTGCTATTCCTGGGAAAGCAGATCTGCAGTTGTACTCAAGAAGTGGTTCCTCTTACGGGTCTGTCACCCCATTGTTGGCATTGGTGATGATGCTCTTTGGCTTTGGTGTAACAGGATTGGGTTCCACCTGAGACCTTGTGAGACATGGGTTTGAGCCTGAATCACCAACAAAGAGATGGACTTGTGCGTGGTGGTCTTTGGCAGCAGATGTAAAAATCCTTTGTAGAAATGCCTTGATACCTACTTGGCATTCAAGGAGAGGCTCCAGCCTCGTTGCAAACAGGGGGAAGGCTGCAAAGAGGATCTTGCTTTTATTCTGGTGCTGTTTTACAGTTGGCCATATGTTGAAAGTGTTTGTAAAATGCTTTAGGATCTTTTGAGAAGGAATGTGATGTTCAACTGCCAGAAAAGGCTGCTATTATATAGCTACTAAACATAGTGTTTTGCAAACTGCACATCTTGGAATAAGTTTTTTCTTCACAAAAGCTTTTTTTGCAGCACACCTGCTATTTTGTCAACCTGTTCTATTCAGAAAGCATCTTGAGCCTTAAAGAAAGCAAAATGCAGGCAGGATTTTCAAGGGTGTTTGAATGGTTTAGGAGCACAAAACCACCTGAAAGGCTACAACCCAAGAAGATGTGTCTTTTGCTGTTTCTGTTCTGATTTCAGCATGCTGTAGGGATCCCCCATGCTTGGTACTGGTCATAAATGGCTTAGGATTCAGAGGACACCTAAAAAAACAGCCAGAGCTTAATAAAGATGTTGAAACTATTGCTGGGGCCTGATTTCAAGTTAAGTGTGACAACTTCAGTGGTTTGCTTCAGCGATGGCATTACTGGTACTTTCTAAGCCTTGCATCAGGAAGCCAGACTCCAAACACAGCACATTCTAGCCCTAGTATTTATGAATTAATGCATTTTTTTTTAGAGTTAAAGCTCTGTAGCTTGTGTAAGAAGAATGCTAGACACATAGAATCACAGAATTTTTGGGTTGGAGTGAACGTTAAAACTCTTCTAGTTCCAACCCCCTGCCATGGGCAGGAACACCTTCCAGTAGACCAGGTTGTTTAAAGCCCAGGTCATGGGATTTAGTTCCCTAGAGAGGCAGATAATGTCCTAGGGATCTTCTCTGACCTCCCATTCTGCTTCCCCTGGTCTCCTGTGCCTTGTCTGTGGGTCCCATGCAGATGTCATGGATCTTCAGGTGTCTTTCAGCTCGCCTCGGACACCTCTGTTTGGGCAACTGAGTTCTAGACAGGATTTGGGATGCTCACCATCTTTCTGTAGGTGTTGCATATGGGCATCTTATCCCCAGTTCCCTCCAATTGCTATAAAGTGGGTCCTGATGACTAATTTGGATGGAGCTGTCCCCAGCCACATCCCTAACCCAAACTCTGATAAACAGATTGAAGAGCACAGATGCTTAGGAGGGAGAGGTGTTATCTAAGATAGGTAGCAATTCCTGAGGATAGCCTTTGGACCCATTCCTCTTGTCTCCACTCTCTGGTCTTCCTTTCCCAAAGGTGTCATTGTTTTTGTCCAGCTCAGAATAGTTCTTTCTCTGTCAAAAAAAGCTCTATGCTATGCCCAGCCCATTGTGCTCTAGTTCTAATTTGAGCTTTTTGGTTGCTTCCTGTTACCAGTAATGGTATTAATTAATGGTAAAAATAAGGACATGGAAGGAATCTGTTGGGACATATCTCTCCTAAGGAGAGTGGTAGAGGGACCACCTATCACCCAGGCAAGAACTGCCTCCTGAAATTGAGGACAGAGTGATGATTCTAGTTCTACACTCTGAAGTATGATATTAAACAGGACTCCTTCCCCTTTTCTAAACTACAATTTTCCCATCAGATTAATTGTGCAAAGAGTAAGACAGACGATTGCTCCAAGCCTCTGATTGTTTTATTTTAAAAGGAGGACAACACCTCTTCAAAGTTAATAAACCCTTTGGGTGTTTTAGGGTGTCTTCTTCCATTATTTGGTATTCTGAAGGAGCTTAAGATACAGCAACCCAAGGATTCCTTTCTGCTCAGAGGCAATCCTCACCTGGCTTATATGAATAGACTTGAAGTCCATCGGGGTTTTTCTGTCTTCACTCCCCCCTACTAGATGTGCACATGCCAATGCAGTAGCTTAAAATGAACGTGCTTTTGCTTTCGCTTGGAAGCCGAATCCCACCAGCCCTTTCATGCACTGACGGCTTGGCTGGGCCTTGCTCTGCCCACTGTGCTTTAATAACCTGTGAGTAGCCTTGTTGTTTGCAGGCTGCCAGGTTATTTATACTCCATCTGTTCTTCCCCGTCCGTAGCACTCGCCAGCCCATCTCCCTGACTGCTGTTTGCCTGGCTGGGGGACATGCATGGCATCCTGATCCCTCTGTTGTTCATCTGCCTTTTGACCTGCTCCTGTCTCAGATCATTAAAGCCATTTATCTTTGTAAGACCATCGTTAGGTGTATACCCCAAAGGTCCTTGAGATGTAAAGAGCCTTCATGGCTCTTGGAAGCAAGGATGTCTCCGC